TGAAATAACTACTGGGAAGGGGGGACAGTGCCAGTGCCTCCTGGACACCCATTCCACTGCAGCAGTGAGCAAACACAACAGCAGCCACACACTGCATTGACCAGACAATGGCAGATGCCACACATGCTTTCTTGGGAAGCTACGGGCAGCTCAGATGAGGCTCTGGCTGCTGTGAGGCAGCAGGGGCTCCCTGGAGGGAGTCAGCAGCAGACCAGACCAGCTGTGCCTTACAGCTGGCTGGGGGGTGAGGGGCTGAGCCCTGGCCAGGGGTGAGGACCTCTCCCAGCATCCAGTTCCAGATGTGGAGCATCCAAACTGCCCTGGGGAGCTGGCTAGGAGTAAGCTTCTCTGGTCCAGAGGGAGACTGGGCTTCTATTCAGGGTTTTCTTACAATCTTTTCTGTCATCTGCTTCTGCAGTCTTCCCTGAGGCTGTGCTTGTGGACTCCCCTTGCTATCACAGATAAAAGTGGCAGCTTGATGCCCAGGTAAGCAAACAAGTCAGACCTCTGGGCACAGCTGGATCCGTGGGTCAGGCTCAGACACAGAGGCACCTGGAAGTGAGCAGGCTCCTGCCCTGGAGGGGCTGGCCAAGTGCAGGACACCAGTCACTCCAGCCCCTGTCTGATTCCCTAACTCCAGCTGGGCTTCTGCCCAGGTCACACGTGGGAACTCTCTCCCTGAACATTCCAGCACAGCCAGCAAGCATCCAGGGAGCACTGAGGGGAGCCTGTCCCTGATGCACTGTGCCTTTTGTCACTGGCACTGGCCCCAGAGATGAGCACGCTGGCACAGCCCCTAAGGGAATTCCTGTGTGGCTTTTACCCCACAAGGTTAAAAAAAAGTTTTCTGCTTCTGTCTTCACTGTCCCCCTTTTCCTGACATTTTGCACATCCCCACTACTGGCAACAAATCCTGCCATTCCTCACCCTACCATTGCATCATCAGCACCCACTGCTCATGTCTCAGCCTCGCATGGGAAGGAAGAGCATTTCTGTCTTTCTCTCATAAAATAAAATAAAAATAAAGGCCCTAAAAGGCGTTCTGTCCTATTTTAGAATCCTAAAGTTGATCTTCTTAAACCTTGAAGGGAGATAGAATGAGTGAGACCAAAGCCTTTAAGCTAATTAATACCTTCCCCTCCCTACTGCACAAAGAGATTTTTTTTTCTAAAAATACATCTACAGCCCATTTTTAATGCTGTCTTCCTTCACATCAATGTCCCCAATAAAGAAGAGGAGCTGAGCTGTCATGTCTATCTCAGGATCTGCCCCTCCTCTCACTTTGAAGCTGAGATAGAGAGGGAGAGAGAAGAGGCCTTGGAGCCTGGTATCTGGGCAGCTTTCTTACAGGAAGGGCTGATGGAGGTAAGAATACAGCCAGGCAAGAGATACAGATGGGACCTCACATCAGTGGTGTCCAAAAAGTCCCTTCCCTCTAACACAGGTGGAAGAGCCCAAGTGAATGGAAAACTTCACCCCAGAAAGGTGAAGGTGACACTCAGCTTTGCTTTCAGAGTACAAAAATGCAGGTGGGCAGGGAACAAAACCAGAAGCAGGAAGAAGGAAAGCAGAGGTGGGTCTGTTTTAGAGAAGACAGTCGTGTGTGTGTGTGTGTGTGTGTGAGTGTGTGTGTGTGTGAGTGTGTTGAGGTGGGAGGGCACCTCTCAGTGCCATCTCTTTGGAAAAGTACACATCCATTCCAGGAAGATCCCTGGACTGAAGCCCTCCCTTCTGCTCCCTCAGAACTGCTTGGTGTTTCCTTAGTAAGCATGCTCATACATATGCTACCATACAGGTGTATTTACACGTGGTGAGGTCTGCTAGGTCTCAGCAGAGGTCTCTGGTACAATGCTCCAACATGACAACAGAAAAAGTTTTGGTGTTCAGTGAGGCCATCTTTGTGTTGTACTGCAGCTCAGGACAGTCCCCCCATGTCCTCTCTTCCACTCGTGCACTCCTTCCTTTGGAACCGGCTGCTGCGAGGAGATGATACTTGGAGAGGATGAGGAGGAAGCGTGGCAAGTGGTGCAAGTTCTCACTCCAGCTCAGCCAGGGTGGCAGCCAGGGTGGCAGGGAGAACTCCACCCCCAGGAGTGCCCCAAGGTCGGTCCTTGGCTTGGGTGAGTCCGTTTCTCTCCGAAGTTTCAGGGTGGGTACAAACCTGTGGCCAGGTAAATGCAAGGCAGGAAAGGAAGTCGAGGAGTAGGAAAAGGAAGACAACGGTGCCTAGAAAGCAGCAGGTCATCAAACCTCTGGGGAACAGGGCAGCAAAGTGCTACATGGGGACAGCACGAGCACAGAGCCAGTGGGGCTGGCAGGGTGTCAGGGAATGTGAGCATGGAGGCTGGCAGTTTCTATAGATGGCTCCTCACAAACAGCATCATCTTGAGGGGAGACAGGGTAAGACTTAGGTCAGTTGGCTTTTTTTTTTTTTTCTTTTCTTCTCATTTTACTAAAAAATAAATCACAAACTAGATCTCTGTAGGCAGAAAGGGTCCCTGGGAGGCGGTGGGGAAGGGAAGTGGGGAAGTCTGTGCTGTTTGGTGCTGGTGCTGTGGCTACACGAGGCTGCGTGAGCCACTGGAATACCTGCGCCTCTGAAGCAGCGAGCTGGGGGGACAATACTGGTGGGGATGGTTGTAGGGAGGGGGTGGAGGGGGCAGGGGAGGCTGATTGACCAGCTTGACCGGGGTCCCAGGGAGCCCACTGCCCACAGCACGCCAGGGGGTGGAGGTGCAGGAGTCAGAGGTGACATAGCGTGTCAGAGTCTGGTTGAGGGCCGGCTCCATCCGAGCGAGGCACGGCTTGTCCAAGACAATGACCTTGACAATCTGCTGGCACTGTACAAGTGTCCCTGCTGAGGCAGGGTGTGAGGGCACCAGTGCTGTCTCCAGCCGCTCCCGTGGCATGTTAAGACGCATGCTGGGCTGCATTCCACTCTCGGGCCCCAGGGCGGAGTTGTGCTGGTACGTTTGAAGCCTGTTGTGAATTGACACCTAGTTTAGAAACAGCCAAAGAAGCATTAAATGTTACAAGACTTTTCCCATCTGCTGCTACTGGCTGCCCTGAACCCCGCCACCAGAAGACCTCACATGCATTCATCCCTCCCTCGAAAATCCAGAATAGGCACAACCCTGGCTGCACAGTCCCCCTCAACAGCCCCATTGTCCCCATCTAGCCTAAGTGTCCCTGTCCTTTCCATCGTGTCAAAGACAGCAGAGCCTGCGTTCCCAAATGCAGCGCAACTTTGATTATCCAAACAGCACAGGGAACACAAATCGACTCTAGGAGTGGAAGTGTCCGTGAATTCTCATGGTAATGAACAGACCTCGAGGTCATGCCTTTGTCCCCAGCAGCAAAAAGGAGAGGGGGACCAGACCACAAGGTTTCAGATAATCGAGGCTGTACTTTCAGCAAAATGACAGCAGCTGAATCTGAGATAGACAGTGACAGAGAAACCCAAGCCTTTCCCAGCTCCCTGCCTTTCTAAGTAGGAAGGTACACCACATGACTGGCTAATCTGTTTACAAAGGAAAAAACAGAAACCTGACACAGTCTAGCAAAAGGCAGCTCCCTCTGATCCACTTGATGGTTTGTCAGTGAAAGGAAATGATTTTCAAAAAAAGAAAAAAGAAACAAAAAATGCCCATCTAGCTCATACAATGATAAAAGAAATTCGTGATGAAATGGCAGCAGATTAGATAATCTCAGAGAAATGGAAAAGCTCCTCTGCTGGCAGAGTAATACTTGGTCAGCTGAAAGCAGGTAGGGAAGCAGGAGGTGGTCAGGATTTCCACATCGAGATGCTGATAATGGACTCAAATAAGGGAGCTCACTGAGACCAGTCTGAAAAGGAGGAACTGGCCTGGACTGGAGGTCCCTATCAGGGGAAGTGCAGCAGGAAAATAATGCTTCCCAAATGATGGATGAAGTTATAGTTCTTCCTGGCAAGGAGGCTGATGCAGACCCCAAACCAGAGCTACGTTGCTGGCTCAAAACAGAATGTCAGTCAAGTGACAAGCCCTGGGTAGGAAACAAGTGCTCACAGGTTGGCACTTCCAGCCAGGCAGGGGTACAGATGGGACACTGGGCTGCCCTGAGGGTCTGGCACAATCAGCAGCAGCACCAGCAATTGGGAAGGAGAAGCTGTGAAGTGACCAAGCTCCCCACCATGCTGGAACAAGGATGAGCTGTCTGTCCCTGTCCAGGCGTGGAGGTTGCTCAGACTCACTGCACAGCAGGACACAATATTGTGCCAATACATTCAGGTGGTGGAACATCCCACAGGAAAATCTGGCATGAAGTGCCAGTGACATTAGGATACATGGAAGCCGTTCTATACAGGGAGACACTTCTCCCAACAGGAATAGGAAACTGGCTGGCAGAGGCACCTTTCCCAGGAAGGGGGTATCTGCAGGGAAATAGGGTGCTCTCCAGGGAAAAGAAGCAGCACCTACTGCCCACAGAGAAGCTGAATTCTTCAAGTAAATGTATGTTGACAAGAGGGGAAAGAACTACCCTGGAAAAGGGCAGGTTCAGGACAATGGAGATATTCCAGACGGAGAGAGAGTAGAAAGTAGTTGATAAGATTTTCAGTGTGAAGATTGCATTTTCCTGTTTCCTCACAGGCAGTGGGAGTATGGGTGTCTGTGAAGAAATAGGCAACCCACTGGATGCTAGACATTCCTGCAAAGATAGATGTACACAGGACAGCCAAGCTCCCTGCCTGGGGAGGTAAAGCTCTAAGGAAAGTCTGGTGTACAAAGGCCATGCTTTATCCCCTTCAGGGGGATGGAGAGACAGAGCTGCAGAGATTGTGCAGGAAAGCTGGGCTGTGGGGAATTTGCATGTGATGCTGCATGGAGTTAGCATGTCAGGGAAGTCCTTAGTGGGGCTCTCAGTCTCCCCAGAAGCAGTGGGGTGGTTTAGTCCACAGCGTTTGGGAGCCTGGCCCATGAAGGATGTTACAGTTATAAAAACGGATTGAAAATGCTTTGAAGTTTAGTTTGGATTTGAAAGTTGTATTACCCGTCCTAGCAGTAACTTTTAATTGTATCTCTGGAAATTGGTAAAATTGTCAGTCTGGCTGGGGAGGCATTGATTAAAACCTGAGAAAAGAAACAACAGAGAATGTGAGAAGAGCTGAAGTGAGAGAGAATTACTTACCTAGGCTGCTCTGCACTCTACTTACCTCCACTGTGCTGTCCGAGACCTTCTCCCCCAAATCCTTCTTGCCTTTGAAATAAAACAAAAGATCTCACTCATGAGGTCTGCCCCTCTAGTCAAGAGCTGGCCCTCACACGGTAGACTGGAGAGTTAAAGGGAGAGGTGCAAGGCAAATCCAGACCCTCTCGCAACCTGTTAGCTGCTAGTGGGGTAGGTTTCACCTGTTCAGGGAAGAAAACTGGGCCAGGTTCTTCAGCAGTTAGCCATGCTAAGTAACACCTCTTTACCAGGTGTTAGAGCTATAAATTGGGTAATGAGACTTCAAGGGTTTTTCCAGGGTATTTGAAGAATGTATACATTCTCGTATTTCCACTATTTGGCCAAGGCTTAAGGATACAAAACGGAACACTTCTTTTTGCAGTTATTCTCACAGGAATCAGTGAGAACTTATTGGTAAAGGCAGCACTTCTTGACCAAGATAAGCTGGGTTCTGGGTACCCTCTTACCTGTTGGAGAGCCTTGCTTAGACTGCAGTTCCATCTGGGCTCCATTGGTCCTTAAGGAGAGAGTCTTTGTCCCTTGCTGTTTCTCCAGTTCCCCTGCAAAACAGACATATGGAAATAAATGAGGATGGAGGGAAGGTCACCAGCATATTGAAGGAGCAAAATGGGAAGTGAATAAGGAGAATTAATGCAAGGAAGTCACCAGTGAGTGCCAAGAAGGGAGAGAGGAGCAGCCAAGAGAAAACAGATACTGGAGAGGATTTGACATGTGGAGAAATTTACATGTCTCCATAGGACCTTCTACATATGACCTGCATTTATACAGGACTGGCTAGTGCTGCACAGATGGGGACCACTGAAGCTGAACTTCTTTGGCTCATCAGTTTGTACATGGAAAGGCCATCAAAGGCTACATGGCCATCTTGTCTGTATAAGGGCACAGACTGATACAGATTGCTTGCCCTGTTAAAGGTACAAGATCTATCCCAGCTATTTACAGATCATATTTGCATAATCAAAGGAGTGTGGGACAGAGAAGAATCTTCTGGATGTGACAGTCTAAGCTTCCCTGTTCCAGGCCACTCTATCACACTCCCTGTTTCATAAGCATTATAAGTAGTTAAGTCTTTCCATTTCTCCTGCTGGACAGTGATCAAAGAGCCTGACTGCTTTCTCATCCTATCAGTGAACCCAGGAACAATCCTGTGCAGACTTGTGCTGCTCATCCTCTTTGCCCCTGTTCCTGAAGAACTCTTCCTTTACCGTTTCTCCCCTGTAGTCACATGCAGTGGGATGGCACTGGAGTGTGAATTGTAGGAGAGACCCTTACATTCAATTCGTATCTGTTCCAGTTCTGTCACTTCTGCTATTGACTCTTTCAGGTCTTCCACAAACTTCTGCATTTCCTCAGCACCCAGAGCACAGAAGTGGAGTACTTGCTTCTTCTCTGAGCCTGAAACTGGAGTCACCAGTGTAATACCATGGGGGTAATCTGAAAGATGTGTCAACAAAATAAAGAGGTGTTATGCATTCTTGATGGAGTAGTAGGTTGTTCTGGTACATCTGAAGGACAGAGAGTTTTCAGCCTGAGTCCAACGGAATTTCACACCCAGAGTTTGTCACATTGTCAGCAGTGGGAACCTGTAAACACTGCAGCCCTCCAAGAGAACAGAAGGACCAAGCTGCAGCAGCAAGGCAAAAGTCACCAACACCACAGTGCTGCCAAAACCTGAGAACTCCAGCTCTTAGTTACTCTTAGCTCAGCACTGACCTTGGGAACCTGAGCACAGGTTATTTTTACACAAGGAATGTAAAGCCTTTCTCAATCTATGGAAGTGTAAACAGTGTTTATGAGGCCAATGACACTTTTTCTCCTGTGGGAGATACAGCAGGAGAGGTTGTCTTCTGGGGTCAAAGCCATTGCATCCACAGTGGCAAGACCTGTCCCCAGTCTGTCCTTTCATCTGCAGAGAACACAGGAGGTGTGATGGCACAGCATGGGTGGGGAGCTCACTGCACTGTGCAGAGAGAATGGTAAAGGAAAGATGTGTGTTTGTAGGTCTCTGCTTAGTAATCCCCACAGGCAAAACACACAGGAATGTAAATGAAAGGCCATGCCCAGAGAGTGAAAATATAACAGCAAAGGCCTTATGTTTTAAAGATCAGATTTGTGTGCAGGGAGGTGATGACTGGAGATTCAGACAACAGAATCAGGAGAACATGAGAGTGCAGAGAACTTGCCACACTTTTGACTGGGCTTCCTCTATCATTTGCTCAATGGCTGAATGTTTCAATCCCTGTCCTCCTTTCCTTTCACATTCCTCTAAATTTAATTTCTGTCTTACCCTGTTCTGCTTTCACTTCTCCTCCATTGCTCCTACATCTGCCTGCCTTCTGTGGGCAGCCTTCCTTTATTAGCCTTCCTTTATCAGTCTTTTCCAAACAAGCCAAGGCCTAACCTGTTATTTTCAGCCAGCCCTCAGCTCCCCCTGTTTGTGTGCCAAGCCCTTTTCCCACCCTGTGTCTCTCTCTCAGCTGTTCAGATCCCAAGGTCTTTGTGACATCTGCTTTTCTGTCTCTTCAGGGGATGCACAACAGAGTGCCTTTGCCAGAAGATCTCTGGGCACTCCTAGGATAGCCATGCTACCCCTGAAAGCTGATTCCAGCTCTGATTGTGCCTCCTGGGGATGCTCAGGTCCTTTAGTTCACACAGGGATGTGGGAGCCTCTGCATGCTGCAGAGCAGGGTGTTGGGAGAGTGACTCACGCTGCCAGTGGAGTAGAGGAGGGATGGAAAAATCTTAGTATAGCCAGAGTGCTGCTACATTTTGCCTTCCTTGCAGCATCCTCTCCATGTGCTCACAAAGCCCCAGGGGCATCAGCCATGCTTGCCTGGGACTGCTGTGCTGCCCCTGTGCCTGTGCCAGCAGGAAGCCTGCCCATTTCTGGAGCTCCTCCACGGCACAACCAGCCCCAATCATGACACATCATGGCTCTATTCCCAGACCATCAAGGTCAGGCTGACTAGGGCTGGCCTCCTGCCATGCTGTGGTGGGTGCTGTTCCAAGGGCTCTGCCTTTGCCTTGGGAAGCTATCAGCACAGCATGGCACTGTGCAGGGAGGTGGCAGCAGCACCTGAGCCTCTGTCAGCATCAGAGGCAGCAGTGGGGGTTGTGACTTTGGGAAGGAGAGGAGAGGGGCTAAAGCTGGCAGCAGCAGTTCTGTCAGCAAGATTCTGCACCTACAGTTGGTTTCTGGAAGCTCAGTAGGATGCAAATGGGGATTGATTCCCCAGTCTTCACCACTGGTGTTGTTCCTGCCACCATGACAAGCCAGATCCTTCAATGAGACCCTTCTGAAAATGCTCAGACCTAGGACAAGTACCAGGAGCTTCTTCTCCTCACAGTGCACCTAAAGAGTGATCTCCTTGGCACCAAGCCTCAGTTTTCTCTCCTCTACTTTTAACTCTGATAGAATCTCTCTCCTAATGCAAACTCACACATCCCCCTCCTTCCTTCTCCTTTTCCCTGCCAAACCCCTCCAGGAAACCCAGGAGCAGTGGACTTACACTCATTCTCAAAGAGATGGAACTGCATCCCTAGCAGGCCGACTGACTTGCAAAATGTGTATGTTGAAGAGCTTTTTTTCTTCGGGCAAAGCTTGAGGATCTGTTGGAGAGAGAGAAGCATCATTGGTGCTGGGGAAGAGTGAGACAAGAACGATGCAAACTGCTCAAAGCAAAAAAGCTTTCTGCAAGCTGATGCCTTAAGTTTTTTCTGTTCTGCTTGGGTGGTGAAGACAAAACAGTCCTAGCCCAGCTAAGGACTCAAGGACAATCTCTTCAAACCTCAGGCCCTAAGCATAAACAACGTGAAAAGAGGAGGGTGGGCAGGCAGGCAAGCAAGGAGGATGAAACTTCATGATTTGAGACTATTCATTGGACAGTTGACTTCTGTATGTAAATGGATTAAAACCTATAAAAATGTGAGGTCTCGGGACCAAGCTTCCATCTTGGAGCCATCCAGGCAAGGCCATGACTGTGGCACTGGTACTGCCAGGGTGTGGCCTTTGAAGGCCTCTTAATAAATATCTATTTATTCCCTTTAACTCTGTGCAGCCTCTGTTCCAGCTCCTCTAGGCATCAAAGCTCTGTTAAGTGTACATGGGAGCAATGTTTGGTGAATGGCTGGCTCTTTGCTGGAGAGCTGCCTGGAATGCTGCACTTGTAACAACACTTCTGGAATCCTGTAGGCATCACCCTGGGCCCTCTCAGCCCTCTCCCAGAGGTGCTGGCTTTTTGATTACTACATTTCTGACTTTGAAAAGGTAATTCTCTTCACCAAAGAACAGATCAAAAGGCAAAGGGAAGGAAGCCTGTCATAAATACCTTAGAGCTGAGAACATGAGTATATGACAATGCTGTGCTGCCCTTGTACCTCAGAACTAGTTCTTATGGATCTGGTTTATCCCATGGAGTAGAGGGACAGCAAGGAGCAGATCCTCTCCCCAGGTTCACAACTGTGCAAATGGCTGCAGAGGAATAGGTAGGTAAAGCTCTCTTATCCTCTCCTTCTACAAAAGGGTGTGGGTTTAGTCTTGCATCTGCTACAACCACAGTTTCACTTTGTCATTAAATTCAGCAAAATTCAATTTTGTTTGGCCTCCTTCCAGTCTCAGTGTAATTCTGCTCTCCTGTATCTACCTAATTCCATTGCTGGGGCAGGACACTTTCAAAAATCCTCTACACATTTGGAGGTCTGGCAAGTACTATCCAGTCTGCTACGGCCTTTTCCATGTTAGAGGCAGTGATTCTAAAGTGTCTGGCAGGAAAGATTTAAAGTGCATGAAAGGGCTCTGTCTACTATAGTACAAACAGACAAAGAAATGAACCTCCCTTTCATGCCTCAAAGGCATGAGAAAGAGCAATGACATTGCTTGGATGGCTGTGGGATGTGACAGTTTGTTTTTTCAAGGGTTACTGGAGTTTTAGATTTAGTAGGTTTTTAACAGTGAATGGTCCAGAGCTGTGCCTTACAATGTTGATGAACTGGGAGCTGTCCTTAGAACAAGGGGAAAATGGATGTTGTGGGCAGAAACCGGGCAGGTTTTATTATGGCAGTGCCTAATTGCCAAAGCACACTCACCACCAGCAGGTCATTGAAGAGGAAAACCTCCCGTTGGTGAGCTGCCTGCTTCTGCACCTTGTTGACATCGGTGACCTCGTACAGGCGGCTGCAGCACACCAGCCGGCGGTGGGGCACCGACAGGACCTGCAGGGAGCACACAGGGGCTTGCAGGGGCTGAAGGGGGGCAACTGAGGGTCTGTCCCACCCTCGCACTGCACAACCCTGCCCAGGGACACCATTGCACCCACTCTGCCCAGACAAATCAGCTCCTCACCAGCACTCCTTGCCACCAGTAACAGAGAACAGCCTTTGTGGTCTGGGTAAATCAGAGGGCAGGCTAACCTGTAGCCTTCTTGCTCACACATCCTACCTATGGCTTCCAATCCTTGGGTCACTGCTCGTCCTCTCTCACCCCACTGGACATCTGCAGGTTTTTCCTGGGCTCTGAGAAATCATTCTGCTTTATTTTGGATAAACAGTACGTACGTTTTTGCACTACAGATTGGTTACTGCCAAAGAAGCTGTCAGTGCATTTGGGGATCTCTTAACCCCAGCAATTTTTAGGGAATTCATTAGAGACAGATGGATAAAATTGTTTTCTGTCACTTTGCCTTTCACTTCCTACATCCTTAAAAGGCCTGAAAGTTTGAAACACTGCAGAGCTATCAGTTGAGCACTGGCAGGCAGGACCTGCAGTAAAATTCATGGACAAACAATTACTGCACTAGATACTGTAAACTCTGGCCAAGGATATCCCTCAAAATTAGGAAGGAATGAGATAGCAGGAAATAAAGAGTTTGGAGAAAAAGGAGTAAATTTGTAGAGACAAGCAAAGAAAGTATTACATAAGAGAAGAAAGGCATAGAGGAAAAACACAGAAAAGAGGGCAGGGAGGGAGGTGGGTGCCAGCAGGGATATGGGTGCTCACCGTTTTCATTCCAACTATGGACTTCTCCACTTTGGTGACATAAGTTACATGGTCCTCATTAGACTTTAGCTCTTTCTGCTGGATCCTCTCATAGATCCCCACCACCAGATCCCGAGGGATGTCAGCACCGTCGTCCACCCCTGCCAAACACAGAGAATGTTGGGCAGGCCAGTCAGAGGGAAAAGGAAAGGGAAGAACCAGTGGCCCCTGGCAGGTCCCTATTGCCTCTGCACTGTGCCATGCTGGGAAGGCTGAAGGGGAATAGCAATTTTAGGCTGTCTCCTTTGTTTCTCTAATGCATCTAATGCACCAGCAGGAGAGACTGACAGCTCTAAGGCCAATGCAGTTGATTTCATTATTCCATTGCTCTGCATGGTGGCTCCTTTCCATGTGTTCCCTAAGGTTTAATAGCCACAATTTCACATTCATATATCTTGGGCTGCTCAGCAGCAACCCCTGCATTGATTTTGTATCACCAGCAGTGCTAGATGTGGAGAAGGCCTATGGTGGGATTCAGCAGCTCTTCCTGCCAATGCAAGCATCAGCTCTCCTTGTCTGCTTGGTGACCTCCACCATTTTCCTTCTGTGTTGTCTCCTAGGAATAATACTTTCCTGCTGTTCTGTTTGTAGTATCTCTGCCTTGACCCTGCCCCTTTCCTCTTTTACATCTCCTTAGATAATTCTCCGGATTTTGCTGACTGACCCTTCAGAGTCTGGCAGAAAAGGTTTTCTTCACCCTTCCCTGAGCCAAACACTGCAAACCAAGCTGCCAGTCCTTCCTCCAAACTGAATTCCTCCAGTCATTTTTTATTGATTTTCTCTGCATTCTTTCCAGCTCCCTGGTGTGAGATGTACTATCCTGAGTGATGCTGGTGAGGAACTGCTGAGAAATGGAAAGGCAATGAGATGTCCTGGCTCCCTTACCTACATCCATGCAAATGTATCCCAAACATTTCAAACACAGGCTGCTGGAGCTGCTGGCCTGGGCACTGGCCTGTAGATGAGTCTGGATTGAACCATCTCTCCTTGGGGTGACATGCACTCACTCTAATGAGTTGTGGTGTGTTGCACACTGGAGTTGAGTGACCTTCATGCTAATTTAATTCATTGTGGTGTGAACAGACAGATTTTAAGGCAACTCTAAGTGTAAGTTAATATTAAAAAGCCCCTTCTTTTTTTAGGGCTAACAATTGTAATACTAAGGGGGATGATGGCACGTAGCAGCCCCATTCAGTGTCTGTGGAATTAACTTGAAAGAGGGCCTCAGTGTCACCTTATACCAGTCTGAAGCAGGTGACAAATTGTGGAAAGTGTGGGAGGCTGGGATGACACTTTCTGAACAGCCAGCAGGACAAAGAAATAAGTCAAAGGAGCCCAGAAAAGTAAAAAATCTTCAGAAAATATAGGAATTTATGCTGGAACAACTTTGAGGGAGCTTTATCTGAATTGCAGATATGCAGGAAGAGAAACTTGGAAAATGGCTGACCTAGGATGAGCTAGGAGTGAATATGGCTGGGAAATTAGACAATAATTTGTCTAGACATGATGTCAAAAAGGCCAAACAATACTAAGCTGCATTAGTAGATCTGAAAATAAGAACAAGGCAGTAGCTCTATCTATGAGTATGTTGTGACCACATCTGAAAAAGTGCTTTTAACTAGGATGGAAAGGACTGACCTTGAAAACAGAAGAAAAATCGATTTGGGGAACTGTTGTATCAGAATTGCAAAGAGGTAATGTATGCATGAACTCTGTCATGCCTACAGTTACTATAAGTAATTGCAGGCAATTAAGAAGGGGAAGATTTAGCCTGAAAAAAAGGAAAATGTGTTCATAGCAGCAAGTAGGGCTTGTTTAGCATAACCCAGCAGGGTCTAAGAAGGATGGAGCTGAACAATAGGAAAACGTAATACAATGGACTTTTCCCAAGCAATGATATATCTTAAAAGATGAAGCCACCTCTCAAAGGAAAATGGTTGGTTTCTGAGAAGGCTGGACAGCTTTCTGCAGAAAACAAAGCTAATTAGAATTTCCCTTCCCCAGCACCCTAGAAGGCATCTCAAAGGGCCTTCCAAGTCAGGCTCACAGGCAAGCAGCAGAAGACCTGGAGAAAGGCAGGTCCACCAGGTTTTTCCTGCCTTCATCTAGGCAGAATTTAGAAAAGCAAGAGGGCAAAAAAACCAACCCCAACCAAAAACCATCAAGGCAGGACCCTCACCTCTCAGATTGCGAATGAAGTCCTCCAGCATCATCTTCCTGTCAGGCTTGATGTTGGGGCTGTACATGTCCGTGTTGAGGAGGATGATGGCAAAGGCCAAGATGAAGATGGTGTCCGGGTTGTGAAACTGCTGGACCACATCTGGGTTACACATGCAGTACCTCTGGCTGCAGCAGGAGGGATGCACACACTTAACATGGAGCATGGGAGCCCTCTGCTCCAGCTTGGCAATGGCTTCATCACAAGCAGATCACATTCCTCCCTTCACTCCACCCCTCACACACAAGAGAAGGAACCCACTGCTCTCTGGAGACAAATTTCCCCACCACTGAAACTTTAGCCTGCTTGTCCTCAGGAACCAAAAAAATAAAAGTGAGACTGGAGAGGACTCCTCAGAGTGTGTCAGTACATAATAATACAGGAGGGGTCTGCTCCAGCCTGCCTTGCTAAGCACACAGCACTCCTCTGGATGCACCAAGGGAGAATCCAGCAGCCCTGCAAGCCCTTCTTGGTGACTCCTGTGAGTCACCCATGAAAAGGGAATCCCTTGCTGGCAGCCACGTCAGGACTGGCCTCTCTCTGGCCCCTGGCACCCTTCATGCCACTGAACGTCTGACAAAGCCACAGCTGTGACACAGCAGTGGCAGCACAGAGGACTCCATCCTTCAGGAGCCCTTCCATGATCCTCCTCTTTGGGAGGGAACTCCGTGGACATTCTCCCCATGACTGCTGCTTTTTGCCTCGGGTGTGCTGTGTTCCCTGCTTCCCCTGGTTTCAGCAGTGGGGCTTCAGGGCTCCTTCTCTTACCTGAAAGCCTCGATGAGCCTCTCCACCTTCTGTGCTTCCCCCTGCACGCGGATGTGAGCCTGGAATTTTCGCAGGGCTTCGTCCAGCTCCATGCCTGAGAAGTCCATCTCGTCCACGACACAGCTGTGGGAGGGGGACACAGCCTTCATCAGAACATCCCCCCGTGGGTGACAGCACCAGGATCCTCCACTGAGGTACTGAGGCCCAGTCCCCAAGGAAATCCCATCACTATCGATTCCTGGATCCTGCTTACCACGGACAGTGATTTCACTCAAGTGATTCCTGCATTCTGCAGCTGGTGAGCAATTCTTGTGCTTTGCTATATGTTTATATGTGTGTGTGTGCATGTGTACACCATGATATACACATATCACACCATAGACAGCATATACATTCACATATGCATTTACAGAGAAAGTATGTATATATATATATATATATATATATATATATATATATATGCATTGATACTTACCTGTATCTATATAGCTATTTAGACATCTATACTGACATAGATATTTAGTCACCTGTATAAATATCAGTAAGACCAGAATCAGTTCACAGAAAATAGGAAATGGAAGCTGTTGTACAGAAATAACATGCAACATTACCTGTTCATCTGGTGTCACTTTGCATTTTGATGTAGTTCACTGCCCACTGGAAATTCATGTCAGTTTAGATACCCCAAGAAGGAGATGACACCTTTAATATCTCCCATTAAAGCATTCTCATCTGATAAAGGCCCTGCTGTTAGTCTCCAAAACCTACCACTACAGTTCTTGCTCTCTGTATTTGTCAAATAATCTACTTGTTCCTATTCTTACTGCATGGTATTTCAATCACTTGTAATGACAACACCTTTCCCATGTGGCTTCAGCACATTCTGTTAGCATATTCCTACCTTTTGTGCTCAGGTCATTACTGCAAGCATTAATCAAAAGACTAGACTCAGAAATTATGTCCCTTAGGCCCAACTTCCCATTTCAGCAGAGTATGTAGGCACTAATGTCTGTATCAGCCAATTCACTCCCCTGTTTATGATTCCTCTGCTAATTTCTCTCTCTTCCACTCTCAACAAAAAGTTTCTCATGTCCAAAGCTTTGTCCCCTGTCTAAAAATTAGTTATTCTAAGAAAGACAGATATTGAATTAATCTACTTTCCACTGACTTTGGTGTGTAAAATTTACCTTCCTGCTTGTCATTATTCCTTCCCAGAAATAAATTCTCTAAACTGAAATTCTGTCTGAGAGATGAAGAAAATCAAAGGTGCTAAAATCCCTTTTTCTTTAAACCTTCCTTAAATACAAAGTTACTAATTTGCTAATGGGACCACCCTGACATTAGAAATGCATTAAAAATTCAAGAACTTATTTTCTGCTTATCTGTACCTTGGATACAACTTCTATTAGCCCATTAACCCCTTTATTTAATTGTGTTTGGGTTACTTTGTTATGTGGTAAAGGATAAACTGATCCCAAATTTAAGGTTATTAAGGAGAAAATGTTCCCCAAGACAGGTTGTGTGGAACTTTATGAGGAGTGGTACAGGGAAATAAGAGGGAGAGGAGATTAACTCTCTTCTGGATCCTTCCGCTTCCTAGGATTATCCGGAAAGTGTCCCAAAGAAATGTCTGCTAATAAAGGGATGTGCTGTTCCCAGTTTCTTCTTCCTTTCTGAGATAAACTGGGGGTGTGTCTGCTGCTCATTTCGAAGTGCTGCAGTTTGCTGTGGGTTGTTGGGAAGTGGTTTGTGAACTAAGCTAGTGAGTGCCATGTGCAGCTCTGCTAGAATAAAAATCTGTTGCACGATGCCTCCAATGGCTGAAGGACAGAGTTCAAATGCTCAGAGACATTTCTGCATTCCTCCACTGCCTTATTGATTCAGGAGTAATCATCATTTAACTGGGGTGATACCTGCAGAATAACTTACCAAGAGCTCTGACTGAACATAAAGTGCTTTGTATCTTCTGAGACTGGACTTGTTGCAACCTCAGCTAGGAATTTTGGGCTCTTTCTCTGCACAAAGTCTATATAATCGAAATTCAGAAACAAATAGGGAGCAAGGGAAGAGAAGCAAAGGGACTGTTCTCACAGGAAATCTTCCATGAAATATTTTTTTATCTCTCCAAGCGGTGGACTACAGAAACACTTGGCAGTAAGAAAAACTTCCACTTTCCTCTTTGTTATTTTTGTATTTCTCATACTCAGTGCCTTGGGTTAGCATCAAGGCATTCTGCTTCTTAGAATTTATCTTTGATAGTAAGAACAGTTTTCCTCTTGTTAGTCTTTATTGTGTTCACAGCTGCAACCACCTCTGCACTTGGGCTTTTGTTATTATTTTTTAATCCTTTCCAGTGAGCAGTGTTTCTCAGCACTGACCCCAGTGATTTTGCTGCTATTGTCTGCTTCCAGACATGTGAACAGAGTCTTTGCACACCCCAGGGACACCCACTAAGGTGTTATCCCAGTAACCCCAATCCACCAGCATTAAATCATCTATCTTTTGCCTACTCCTTCCCTCTTTGATCAGTCTTTCTCCCTCCACACAGGCTGCCCTAGCACATCCTCCCCTTTGTGTACCAATCTCAAGTAATGAAGTCAATGCCCTTAATACAGAAACCATCACTAGGACAAGTAGGATAAGGCAGCTGTTCATAGCTCTTTTCAAGCTCAAACAGGCATTGCTATACAAGTTATGCTTGGATTCTCCTTTGAGGGTTTTTCTCATAGACTGACTGATGCAGGTTTATTTTGTGTTGGAGTCTGAAAAACAGAGGCCTCTCTGAGTTCTTCAGAGAGAAATCAAAATGCAACAAGCCACACAAATTGAACACGCAGTGCATCCAGAGATTCCTTTAGCCCACTATATTCAAGGATATGACTTTAGATCATGTTCTTGAAGTGAACAGGAAAAGCAACTCATAAACAAGCTGGTGGGGGCTGAGGACTCTTGTGCCACCTGTGTACATGAGGAGCTTGATCTGCTCTGATGCACCTCATAACAATAACAGAGAATTCTACACCAGGTTCCAGGACCAAAGAGGTGGCTCCTAGGTGGATTATCATGCTTAGCTATTGTCTTTGTTGTAGCCTCCTAGGCTACAGGGAAAAGATCCCCCCAAAAGTGGGTGGACAAAACGGCAGAAGAGCTGTGAGGATTTAGCACAGGACTAAGCATGGCAAATAAAGCCTATGGCAAAAGGGTTCAGTGAAGACAGGAAGCAGCTGTATCATGTGGGGCGGGGATCTGCTCAGCCAAGTGTAATGACCTATTTTCCAGCTTTTCCACTCAGGTGACAATGCAGCAGGAGCTGGGATGCAACTAAAAGCATCTGTAATGAACCTGCAGCCTCTACTCAGGGAGGGAGCAAGGAGTGAGGCAGCCAGGTGGAAAGTTTAAAATCACAAGGCACAAAGATATTAATGAAAACCCTCCCTTTTCTCAGCCTCCCTAATTCTACAAGCTTTCAGATGGTGAATTAGGATTTGAGTGAATTATAGAAGAGCTCAGCTCCAGGAAGGAGACTGCCCTGCATGTCTGAACTGAACAGAAAGAAAGTTTGCAGGACTCCCCAATTCCATGTATCAGTGAGCATAGGTGTGTGTCCCAATCCTGCCCTCCACACCCTCTTGGGAAGGACAGTCTCTACAATGGAGAGAGGACCAGTCATCCCTTTCTGGAGAATGCTACAGGATATGTCTTGCCTGTTTTTCCCTGGGTCTGTCATGCCTACTCACTCTCTCTCAGCTGTTGGTAGCTCACATGGCTACTTGGGAATCTACTCCTTCCTGAGCTTCCCTGGGGACTAGGCAGACTCGAGCTGCACCTTCATCCTGTAAGGCCTGGCAGGAGAAGGCTGCTCTTACTCACATTTGGGGTGTGCTACAGCCCTGCTTGCAGCAGGAGGTCAGAACTGCCTGACACGTTCTTCCCTCTGTCCTGTTTCCATCACATCCTTATCTCTTGCTCCTGCTCAAACCCTCCTGTGGTATAAGTCCCTTACTGATCCTCTGTAGCATCCTCAGTGAGAAGGGGAAAGAAGGTTAGTTTGTGCTAACCTGACAAGTCCATTCTGTCTGTCCAAGAGGAACCTAACACTTCTTTGAGAGACAGTCCCTTTGCTGGCTCCCAGCTCTGCACTTCACAGAGCAGCTTTTCTCTCCCTGACTTTCCATAACAGAAAGAGAAGACAACATAAGCTTGACAGACAGAAGACCTGCTCACCCCCAGGGAGAATGTCTCCTACAGCAACTTCCACTCTTAACACCAACCAGACCCCAACTCAGCACAATGTCTCCTCTGCTGGAATCTCTGCCCATTTGTCCTCTGACAGCAAGTGCACCAGGACAGCCACATCTGCACTTCCAAGTCCCACGAGCTGAACACAAACCATCCAGTAGCAGCACAGCTGACTCCATTCATGAAATCACTCACATTATCTTGTTCATGAATGAACTATAAATGGAAGCAATTCCTAAGTCAGGAACAGGTGGAGGGGAAGAATGGACTAAAGTGAAGGAAGGAGAAGAAAAGCAACAAATAAACACAGAATGAAGAAAGGATGCAAGAATGATCACCTGTCTCATATTAAAGCTATGTGTTAATGCCTTCGGCTGGACTTTTTCAAAGCAACAGAATTATTTTTCTGCAGTACTTGACAAATTGATTTGATTAAAACGGCCCAGTACCACATAGATCCTTTAATGGGCCATGCTACCTCTCTCCAGCAGTATTTCCTGAACTGGTAGACACTGAAACCCTGGGACAGGTCCCCAGTAACTCCCTCTCCACTCACACTGCAGGACAGCCAGTGGAAGGAGATTCTTGGATCTTACTGTGGGATGCTAATCACAGTGAATGGTTATTCTGTGGGATGCTTAAAATAGGTTACAAGTGGGATTTATGCCCTGTAACACAAAATGCCTAAAAGCTGCACATCCAGCCTAAACTAGCACACTGAGAAAAACAACACTCTTGAGGGCCCCATGTCTCTCCATTGACAAAAGGAATTCCTAAATTTGTAGAAGACACTAAACATGGAGGTGGTCAACAGCAGGTGAGATAAATCCTAGTTTTAAAGACTGACATCTTTTCTAAACAAGAAAATTACATACTGCATCTTCCTAAAGAGACACACCTGAGTGGTTCAGTACTATCAATGCTTGTGTGTCAATTATAGTCAGAAACTGTAGAAAATCTCCTGCTCTCTCTGTTGTTTCTCTGGCTAGCATGCAGAACTACTTGTGAATTATCCAGACACCTTTTTTGAGTTCCAAGAAAGTCAGTTAAAGGATGAAAGATAAAAGCAGGAAGATGGAAGGGAGATTATAATTTCAGGGCATTTAGGTGCTGGGCATGAAGGTGTGGGAAGGCAAAATAGCACACCACAGTCCTCAATCCTCATAAAATGCTTACCTCACCTAAACCCCTGCCCTTTTACATAAAAGGCTTTGCAAGCAGCATGGCACTTCTCTGGAGTTTCACATTTACTATCTGGGCAGTAAAGTGGGATCATCTGCACAGTGCCAAATGCTGCTCTGCACTCCTGAGCTCTGCTGTTTGACAGCAGGAATAGGCAGAGGTTGGCTTCTCTGTCAGCCAGCACAGCTTCAATACCTGCAGAAGCCAAGGGAGCTCTGCAGAGTACAGACTTATGGCTGGACATTGCAGTTGAGTCTGGAGTTTGTAACCTGGGCAGCTCTGCCCTGCCTCCAAGTGCACAAGGGAGGCTGACACTTTTGCAGATGTTTTAAAAGCTGTCCTATTATTTATTCATGCATCTGGGTTAATTCAGCCTGGCTGCAGTAGAAACGTTGCTTACAATACACAATTGCAACATAAGTTTTCACATCGAGCGAGAGCTAAACTAACACAGCAAGTGGCATCAATAATTGAAATTGCTTTTGGGAGGTAGAGGAGGCTCCAGGGTCAGGTTTGGGATGTGAAAGAGCACAGACATCTCCAGGCTTGCTCACTGCAGGTGATCAGAGCCTGTCCAAGCACTACTGCCTGCTCATGGTCATCCTGCCTGGGCATTTGACCTTAGCAGGACCAAGTGCCTGTTCTTCTTCTGCCTTTGGTTTGCCTCTTCTTCTTCTTTCTGTGGTTTGGGCCACAAAAATGACTGTGATATTGGGTAAATTGTGCAAAAGCTACTGTATGAACTCTCCTGTCTGCCTCATGCTCTCCAGGGAATACCATGTACCTTAACATTGCTAAGTGTGGGTGGATGTGGGGACAGCAGGGCAGCCCTTGCAGTCTATTCTCCAACCTGTGTCAGTGTTCCTGAGCTAGTTTGATGGGAGTTGGATGGGGAATGAGAACCAGACAAGGTCTTAGACAGTTCTAAAATGCCAAAAGGTCTTTGATCTGCCTCTTGTTCCCATAGAAACAGCTCATAAGTTGTGACCGGCCCTTGAGATACAGTGCACTGGAAATGCCAGCACACTTACCCTACACTACACTGCCAGCCCTCTGCTTCCTGCAGCATGGACAGGAAAAATACCCAGGATTATAATTCTGGGCCATGATTTCTCCTTTCAATGCCTTGTTTCCATGCATGGCACGCTGCTGGGTGTGCAGTCATTGCCCATCCAGCTCTCACAAGCAGCTGATGAAAAATTTGCTTGCAAAACCCACCAACCATGCTCAACCATACCCCCAAGCTCAGAACCAGCACAGGAAGAAAGTACCTTCAAATGGCACAGCTACAAACAGCTGAACGTGCATGTTTTTTCCTTCCTGCTTTAGAACATTCTGCATGTATTTTAAGTCTACGTTAATTTTTGCCTTTAAGGAAGACAAATCAGCCATTTATGGTGAAGAGGGGATGGCAGCACAGATTGTTAATGCAACCATATCATCTGTTGCCTGGAGAGATCAGGCACAGTTCAGGCTTGAACCCTGAACTCAAACCCAGTTGTTTGATACATGTTCAGATACACACAGTCCCTGCCCAAGATATGTCCATGTACACACAGCCTCAATATCTCAGTCCCCATCTTTGAGCCTACAGATGTTAACAGGATGGGCAAGGTCACTCTTTCACTGGACATTTGGAGTGTCACCATGAGAGGGGCAGTGGAAACTTGGAGTAATGAGCATGGTGTAGTAGGGCCAGCTTCCCCAGTGGACCCCATGCAGAAACAGGACAGGCAACCCCAACCTAGCAGCTTCTGAGCACTGAGGCAGACACCAGGATTTGCAATAGGGACTGTTCCCAGGAGCTGTTGACACTGAGTTTGCAGTCCCATGTGAGGCAGAAGAACATGGTCATTTGCAGGGATGATGCCAAATTTAGGATTACAAGGAAGTCTCAGCCTACTGTTGTTGCAATATTTCCCTGTGTGTGCAGAGGCTAGGTTTAGACTTGAGCAGATTATCTGTCAGAGAAAGCAGCCCACACAATGCTTACTGGAGAAAAAGAGGCAATTACTTTTAATTGTAGTTCTCAGTGTGAAGAGACTGGACAGCCCATGTGTCTTGTTGCTGGACAAATCAATACTTCCACAGTATATTAAAAAAAAGAGATGGACGAAAGGTCAGGTAGGTACCTGCAGCAATAAGAAGCAACAATTGCAGCTGGAATGAATTTTAAAATTTAGGCCTAGATTTGGCTCTTGAACTTTGGCATCCTCCAGTCTTTCTCTGGAGTAAAAGTGGTATGTGGATGGGATTTGGAGTTTCTGTATGGTTTAGTTCAAGAGAAACCACTGCAAAATTCAAAGGAAATAGAGAACATTTTGGAGAATGGGAGAATGTAATAAAGGACCCAGGGCAAAGGACTTCCCACCTAATGGAAAGGCAGCTCTCACTAAGAGCTGTGCTTCTGCATAATAAAAGAAAGACACAGCTGAGTGCTGGTCATGCCTTGAAATGGGTCTCTGAATGAGCTAGACTTGAAAGAGGAGAGAGATGTAGGCTGAGAGATGCATGGCTTGTGACCAGGAAAGAATGGTGAGAGAATTGAAGGTAACAGTCCAGCAAAGGCAGCCACTGAACAGAAGCAGGAAGAAACCTCAGATTTTGTTCTGAAAAGGGGCAGTTTCTACTCAGCTCATTGGAGATTTTGGAGTGGGGATGTTCCTTAGCGCTCTGTGGCTGCTGTGGCAATGATGAGCCCTTAGTAGCATGTTTTCATATGCAGGCCTCCTCATCACCACAAACCTCCTAATTATCCTTATAATTCAGTTGGACAAACTCAAAGGGCCACTAATTTCCAGCCTGGACAGAAAGAGAACTGAATATGTAGCCAGCACTCACTTCTCCCTGCTGGTCTTACAGCAAGAAGCAGATATTTTTCCTCCTCTGCCTCTCTTAGTACTTCCTAGAAGGCATCAGAGGTACTTTATAGGGATGGGATGAGATCCCAGCCCCCAAACCTGGCAGCATCAGTGCTGAGATCCTGCTAGGTGAGCACAGGCCCCCTGAGGAGGGGCTGAAATGAAAGAACTGATGATATGAAAGGTGAAACACAGCTGGGAAATGTGTTGAGGGATGCCAGATAGGGACTGGCAGTGGTGGAGTTCCTGAAGAGTGGGGGTGAAGGGGTGTGCAGAACAACAAAGTGCTTGCTGGTGTAGCCAGGGGCAGAGGGGGCTGGCAACTCCTTTAGAATGCAGGGAGGAAGAGCAGAGATTTGCACACTTACTCCAGGACATCCCTGTTGAACTGCTTCTTGCTGTTGCCCAGGAATTCCCCAATCATCTGGCGGCTGAGCCCCTTCCTCTGCAGCAGAAAATGTGCCACCCCAATGGGGGTGTCTGGGATGAAACCTCGGGAAATCAGGAACTGGATGCCTTTGTCTGGGTTTCTGGAAAGGAAGGACAGAGACATGGTTGTTAAAGTCTAAAAGTCAAGAGTCTCTCTGAATTCTTTAGAGAGAAATCAAAGTGCTAGAATTCAATTAAAATCTTTAGATGAATTAAAGTATATTAAGCCACTCACACATAAAGTAGAAGTGTAAGCTTAAGTTTTAAAATAAGCAAGTAAGTAAATAAGTAAGTAAGAGTAAGTTTTAAGTGCTTTTAGAAAACAGAAGTCTCAAATACCAGTATAAAAATGCAAGTTCTAGTAAAAGTTAAAAAACATAGTCCTAGATACTAGTGTTAAAATTAAACTTCCATAAAGACTCCAAGAACATAGTTTTAAATATAATAAAACTATAATAAGAATACTGCTTATATTTTTAAATAAAACAATATAACCCATATGCGTAGTTTATACGTAACCTAACATACTAAAAAACTAAAATTCTGGTAAGTTAAAAATAAATAGTTCAAGTTAATGTCTTTAGCTTGTTAAGTAATTTATGTATAAAAATCTATGCTTAGAAGAAAGCTTCGCTTTTTGCCTTTTGCTTTTGTTCCTGCTCTCTCACTTTTCTTCTCACTGCTGTCATCATCACCCAAAAAAAAAAAAAGAGCTGCTGCAGCAACATTGGCCCTGCCAGGACCTTTGAGAGCAGCTTCTACTTCTAATTGAGACTTTACCTATTTAAAACTCTTTGCCAAAAACCTTAGCATAGACTTTAACGCTTAGAACTCTTTGCCTTTCAAGACTGATGCACCTTCACAATAAACAACTTTATAACAACTAATAGCTGGTCAACTCTTTAAAAAAAACAACCACAACTCAACAAATAGTCCTCCAAGTACCAATACATAACCTACACATGGTGAGTTTGCATCATGTCTTGGAGGCATTGTTGCCTCTGGCTGAGCCCATGGCTTGCATCAGTGCAGCCCTCGGGGTGTGCCTGGGCTCCTATGAGCTCACATGTGTGTCAGGAGTGGGACTGGTTGGGGTGAGGAAAAGTACCTTCCTGTGTGCCTCCCTAGCTGCTGCTGAGGACAAAAAGATGACATAGGACCTGCTGTGTCACTTGCAGCACCTGCTGGCACCTGGTAATCACAAGTGGCATCCCATTGCCACAAGGGATTCTGCTGCATTGTACCACACCTCATTAGTGACTCTTCTGCCATCAATCTGCTCCAGAGTCAAAGGCTTTTTCCTCTGGGAAGAAACTTAGGAGACATTGCTGCCATGGTCTATGGGCAAAGAAAGGTCAAGACTCTGTCCTGGGTTACAATGTAAAGATGTGCCCAAAAGTATGTAATCTATCACCATCTGTTGAAACCAGGTGGGGCAGTGATCCTTATCTCCATGGGAGATATCCTCTGTTGATGTTCCAGCTGTTAAACCAGCTGGGGCAGTGTTCTTTATCTTTTCCACAACCCATCCTTCCTCCAGGAGATATCTCCTGTTAATGGGCCATTGAGTCCCACTGCATGACTGATAAAATCACATCATCCCATTGGGAGATGCTTCACCCAGGGGGAGGAGTCAAACATTTCTTACCCAGATAAAAACTGAGATTTGGAACACCAAGGCAGCCTTTACCTAGTGGTTTACAGAGGACAAGAGCTACCAGACCTTTGTACAGGATCACTACTACAACAAGAACACTTCATCTGGACTGCTACCACCACCCTAACTAGCAGGGTGTCAGGTTGTATTCTGACTCTGTCAGTGGTTTTCTTTTGTACTATTGCATGTATTTTATTTTTTTCTCTCTTTTTTTCCCTATTAAATTGTATTTCTGACTAGGAGTCTTTCACTGGTTTTGCTTTCAAACCAGCACAAACTCCAAGGGGGACACTTTTTCTGTTAAGAACATAATTTTGTTTTTCATACATTTTCAAGGTCCATTGTTAAGTGATATTTTTTTCCTTCCTCACTTGAGCTTGATGTTGGCTGCCTGAACAGAAATCCCATACTCAGATTTGCTTATCTCTTCCTCCACTTCCCCCACCCTTAGCTATGTTTTTCTTCCCTTCTCTATTGATTCACACCCTCAGGCAGAAATCTTTGTGTGTGAGAGAAGGCACCCAGAGAATGCTTTGTCAGAAGGGAGGGAGCAGTGTGCAGCTCCCAGACAGAGGGCTTTTCTCCCTCTGTGGCTGTGAGCATCTCTTTGAGAACAGCTCTGGTGCTGAGTGGGCCTGATTGCCTGGCTGTGGGAGTGATTTTGTGCTTCTTAATGTGCCAGTGTGTGTGCCTGCACACACAGCTCTTACAGAAGCAGAGTGGTTTGGGTTGGGAATGACCTTTAAAGGCTGTCTACTCCAACCCTCCTGCAGTGACTGGGGACATTTTCAACTAGGTAAGGTTGCTCAGAGATCCCTCCAACCTGATATTGTATATCTCCAGAGATGAGGCATCCACCACCTCTGTGCACAACCTGTGCCAGTGTTTCACCACCTTCATTGTAAAAATCTTCCTCCTTACATCTACTTGAAACCAGCCCTCCTTCAGTTTAATACCATTATCTCTGGTTCTATTGCCTGAGGCCCTGATAAAACATCTGTCCCCATCTTTCTCTCCTGGCTTTTAAGACCCTGTTTGTCCTGAGAGCGGCTGTGACATTACATGGTGACTGTCTCACAATGCAGAGATGAACAAAAGGCACATTTGTACTGTGCAGGAAGTTTTCTTCCTGTATTTCAGTCTGCCCCACTGAAGGGTCTCTATCACGATGCACTGTGCTGAGGTGAATCACTGCAGTGGCACGAAGATTGCCACATTTCTTTGGTTCTCTGAGCTGGTGGGTGGAGAGAGGTGAGAGGGTGACTTCATGAAATGATGTCATGCTTCCATCATTAATCCAAATTCAGGATTCTTTGTCAAGGCTCAAGGGATGAGTTTGCTCAGGCAGTTTCCTGGGGTGAGGAAAGAATAGGATGAGATTTCAGAGCACATGAATGCATGATATGCACAGGCACAGACTGTGACATTGTCAGGTGGTGAAGTATGTGGGTGAGCAACATATGTCTAGCTATAAGGGGATCAGCATTCAGCAGAATGGCCTGCTCATTACAGGGGCCTCATGGGCATGTAAAAAGTAGATGAGCTTGAAATTGTTCTGCTTACTCTGTAATGTCAAAAGAAAATATCCTGGGCAGTGTGGCATCCCTGGGGAGAGGGCTGCAAGAACAGTCAGCCCATTAAATTTGCAAATATGAGACGTGCAAAATCTGATACTGAAAACTCCAGGCCTTCTTCAGGGAAAAGCAAAAATACACCTTCTTTATTATCACACAGACCTCCTGGTTCACCATTGAAGAGTACAGGTAAAGTTTCCTGCTAAGTGCAAAGGTGATATGGTTGGGACACAAGTCAAACTAAGCAACAGAGATTCATAAAATGCACATCCACCTGCACACTTTGGTGTTTGGCAAGGGCCAGTATGGTGTTCACAACACAAGGATGAGCTCAGTTACACCTGTGTGACTCCAAAGTCACTGCACTGACTTTGGATCCACTCCAGAGGAGCTGAGAGCTGAATATGGCCAGGAAAATGCACACACTGGCACGGATGCTAGGTTTCAATTGAGATGGTACATGCAAAGCCATCAGAGGATGCAGGATAAAACAGTCCAGCTGTGACAGCCCTCCTCCTGCACTGCCTAGACTGTAACTCAAATATTCTTTCACTAACAGCAGCCTTTCATCAGTTTTTCCCAGGATTCAATTTGTTCTCCACAAAATCCTGATAGCAATACAGCATCTCTGCCACTGAGCACATGCAGATGTATCCCATCTAGTGCAGCATGTAGCTTTTACCCAGATGTGCAGCAGACAACTCTACTCCCCTCTCTCCTGAGCCTGGTGCCTGCTATTCATTTTTAGTGTTGCAGGGGTGTTAAGCAGAGCCAGCAAATGCTGTGGGATTCCTCAGGTCCTGCTGGCTTTCCCTCTGCCCACGCAGCCAGCTGCCCACACACACTGAGCTATTACAGCAGTGCTGCATAATGAAGCACTCACCATTCCAGGGATTTCACCCCCTCACGGTGCAGCAGGGATGGGGGAAGTGTTTCCAGAGGCCTGCTCCATGCCAGAGCACTGCCTTCCAAAAATGCAAGGCCAGGCCAGATAAACTGTGGCAGGTTCCACTAGAAACTGCAGGCTTTCAGCTCCTGCTCCGGGGAAAGGCAGATAAAAGGACATGTGCACATGCACACACAGCCTCAGCTCCCTGCCCTATGGATCACTGCCCACATCCCAAACCTCACAAAACTGGCTTTTTCCTGGAAATAGACAGGGAAAACAACAACTGAATCACTGCAGAAAGCTTAATGGCCCTCCCAGCCCCTTGGATAGGATGTCACAAGGGGAGCCACATGTACCCTAGCTACTGCTCAGAGATTGAAGAAATCCATCATTTCCCAGAGCTAACAGGTTATTTTCCTCACTCCTGTCCTCCAACCTGTACTTAGAACTGGAAATATGCTCTGAAAGAGTCACAAATCTGTTTTACCTAACATCACTTCTCGATGTGCTCTGAGACCAACCCTAAAAACTTTTCTTTCTGGTCCCTGCCTCCTGGAGTCCACAGCCTCCATGGTACACGTATAAAAATCCTGTGCATTGCCCCTTTATCTGTGAAAAACTTCTGCCTAGGGCGGCATAATGATCAGTCCTTGCTTTGACTAAAATGCCCACGCTAACGTGTGGAAAAACGTTCTCCTAGTATGGGTACATTACATCCTCATTATTAGGGGACTTAAATGGAAACAAAGACAGAGAAATGAGACTGTGATAATAAAGCAAAACCCAGTGTACTTCTCGTGGCTTGTTTAGATGAGAAAAGTCTCATCAGAAGGCAATGAGCAAATTTAAATCTCCTTAAAGGAGCTCAGCTACTTTCTGCCAATCCACATGTGACCCTGTGAGTTAACCTCTTCTGATGGTAACCTCTGCTCTGCTTTTGCTTTCACACCTACAGACTCCTCATAGGATATCAAACTCAGGTATGTGAGAGACAGGTGACTAAACCTGGTCTGTCAGGTGAAAGCCTACCCAAATATCTGAAGGAAAATGACAGCCAAGATGTAATTTTGTCATTATGACTCATACTGGGCTAGTTAAGCTCAAACTCTACCTCTGTGTCTCTTTCTCTCTTTACTTGGAATTGTCCTATTTTAAGTAACCAGGGCTGGGTTTACAGTCCCAGCTATGTTTGGTCCTTTGCAACAGAGTAGAGTAGAGTGATCCCAGGCTCAGCTGGTGGATGCCAAATACACAGCAACTGGAACTGAAGGTTCAGTGAATTGTGAGAGCATGGGCACTACTCATGGCTTGTTCCTCTGTTAAGCAGAAGAGAAGGACAGTACTTGGGAGAATTTAGGGAAAGAGCTTCTGGGAAGCCAACCTGTGTTGTGCATTGCATACCCAGATGGTCATGCCCTTGAATAGGAACGAACTTCCCTGGAGATGGATCTAGACCAAGAGCCTGCCATCATCTGTTCTTGTGAGGCACAACACAGGCTGGCAGAGAGAGGAAGAGCCACTTACATGTTGAAGAGGTTCAGCCCAATGCGGTAAAGGCGTTTCCTCATGGTGTCTGTGGAAAGTGTGGGGGACTTGCAGCTGGCTGGGTTCTCGCAGTGGTACCTCGGGAGACTGAGGATCATGGCCTGCAGGGCTTCTTTTGAGGACACCTCAGAGGCTGACTTGGCTGAGGTGGAGGTGCTGCTGCTGCTCAGCTGCTCTGAGTTGTCTGCATTCTCAGACTCCAAGGCTTTGCTTTGCCCTGCCTCACTGCTTGCATCAAACTGGAGTTTCTGCATGGCCATCTGATCCGGCTCAGCACTGCTGTCCCCCGTGCCATTAGTACTGACATCCACCTCGGTGGAAGTGAGGCTGTTCTCAGGTAAGCTCTCTGGGGCAGAGGGTAGTTCACTGGCTTCTCCCTCCCCTTCTTCTTGGCTTTCTTCAGCCTTGGTAGCTGGAGAGAGCCCAGCCTGGTCGTTGCTGCTGAGACAGTTTGCCATGGACACCGAGGTAGATGATGAGACAGAGATGTTCTTGTTGTCTATCTGAACTGTGACATCTCGAAAAGCCATCATGAGAGTGCTGCTGCTCTTGGGTAGAGTATCTGGCAGGAGACCTTCCTCCTTCTCCTGATCCTGCAGCTCAGCTTCTAAGTCTTGGTTTGGCTGCATGGAGCTGGCGCTGAAGGTCTCCCTGATCTGGTACGAGCCCCCATCCTGCAGGGAGCACATGGTCTTCAGGCTCCAGGTGCTGAGGGCATCATCGATGGATTTGGCCAGAGATTGGACTTGTTCTGTGAAGGAGTCCTCCAGCTCAGTGAGAGCCCCACTGATGGTGGCTGGCAGGGATGGGGACCTCACCAGGGGGATGCCCACGAAGTTGTAGCCCTCCACCAGGGCTTTCTCCGCAGAGAAGCTCTCCGAGTTCTGGACGCGGACTTTCCTCAGGGAGATGCGGCGTGGCATGCGGCTCTCCAGCAGGGAGTTGCGGATCTTCTCAAAGTTCTTGCTGAGCTGGTACTGCCTGAATGCAGTCTGGATGGTGCAAGCTGCCCTGCGGGACACCAGGTGGCCGCCGTATTTGTGCTCTAGCATTTCGATCTGAAAAACAGAGAACAGAGAGTTACTTTGTTAGTTTTTGCTAATTGCCTGCTGATGGCTTCTTGTTGCCCCACCTCCTGTACTGATTAGTCTTCAATGACTGTCAAAGGAACTTGTGACACTGAATTAACTTTTCCCTGCAGTGCCATGCTCCTGATTTCAACAGAAGGTTCCCATTTGGGCATGACTGGCAAAATCATCGGCACCACGAGCTTCCTCACAGCTGTTACAGGATCCTGCCCCTTCCTAGAGTGCCAGTCATAAAAGCTGGAGTCTGCAGGTGCCCTTCTGTTGCTGTAAGACTAGGGAGCAGAGAAAAAATACAGCAACACAGGCTTCATCCAGAAAGCAGAAGAAGCAATTTATTGCAGGAGTAGGGACATTTTTATAGACTGGTTCGCTGAACCAAGGATAGAATAAACTCATTGGTCCAAGGAAGGCAGCACCTCTTGCAAACATGCTTTTACTAAAACATCACGTTCCTCACACACTCCTCCTGTCCACAACACCAGGTGCTAAACTTTGTTATTAATTCTTTCCCTTCTGTTTTCCTTTGAGAAGCTTGGGAAAACTCAAACTTCTGTTTTCCCTGGCTCTCACCAGCATCCACACCCTTCCCTTGCAGAGTCACTTCTGATGCCCTTTGGGGCAAGTTCATCACTGCAAATACAACATTCCAGCAATGTGTCTTCCTGCTCAGTGGTGCTCTGGTAATGTCAAGCATTACCTCTTGTCTCAGAGTTTTACTAATGCTTTTCCACTCCTTATCAACCTTAGGAAATACTCTCAGTGAAAAGAGAAATCATTCAGAAAAGGGGAAGAAAATTTAATTTTTAAATGCAGAGAATGCTGGCTTGATCTAGCACTTGACGAGAAATAGAAACTTCCATTTAAGTTAGTGGAGGCTGGGTTTGTTCTGAGCTTGTGTCTTTTAAAAAGTACTCTGAATCCCAAAGTGTCTTCCTTTTTGATATCTGAGTTTTTTAGGTGTCAGCCAGCAATGAAAAGAAAAATACCCAGAAAAAGAAAGACTTTCAGTTTTGAAAGGTAAAAAAATCTGAATTTTAAATGTTAAGACAAGATAATAAAAACACATAGAAAGAGGATTTATCTGAGCTGAAAATGACAAACACATGTAAATACATCAACACACACCATCTCAACTGGCTTCAGCAAAGCAGGTATGGATGGTTGTTCCTGCAGTCTAGAATTTAAACTTCCTGGTAATCCCCCCACTCTTCCTCTGCAGCTGGGTTTTCACTAACAAGTTCCAGGAGAATGACAGATGATTTGGTTCCAATGAGTGACTGACAGAGGACAAGGGGGACAGTGTGAAGATGAAGGAGGAAGATGGGGTTAAAAAAAGAAGAAGAATTAACTCGAACTACCTTCACTGAGGTTTAGGCTGAACTATGAGCTAAACTCTACATCACTGGCACTCCACAGGGCAGAGTGCAGGTGCAGACTGTAGTGTTAATATGTGAGTGCACACATATGGAGAAACAAAAAAAAAAAAAGATGAAGGGCAGGACTGAGAGTCTGGTGAAGTCAGTCCTGAATTAGCAGAGGATTCACTGCATCATGTGGTGAACATCAGCTCGTTAGCAGAACCAAAGGAGGAGTTTTATGGACTGCATCCTCATCCCCAGACATACCACTTGTCCCTCACCATGCCTTCAGTACTCAGTTTGCAAAACTGAGCTCCACAAGATCTGAGTTCAAGTGCAAATTGGTTTCACAGCCAAAGTGAGACTGAGGCATGAGCCTCAGCTCAGAGTCACATCGTGTCACCTGCTTCCTTCTTCTTTTTAATAACATGACGTAAGTTACAGATAAAACCACCAGTGAGTGATGTAGGTACACGTGAAACCTGGTCTGACAGCTATGAGAAGTGTAAATGACCTCTGGCATCTTTCCAATACTAACTCCTCTGGAAGTAGAAGAAGATAATGTGACCTTGGGAGATGACAGGCAGAGAGGAACAACATAAGCTCAGCCTTTTTGTGCCTGCACTGGTACCCTGGCTGTGGAGCAAGTACTGGGAGGCTGACATTTACGGAAGAGAGTGGGATGGGGAGCACATCCTTTCATATTTCCCTCTCTGGACATGAAGCAGGGACCTTTCCCTTGTGCTCAAACATCAGGTAGGCTTCTGTTTTCTGTCTGCCTTGCCCTTGAGCTCACCGTCTGTCCAAGGCAAACATCAAAGCCCAACACTAACAAACACCAGCAATTTTCTTAGTGATGGGCTTGGCCACTGCAGTTGCAGAGGTAGCTGGCTCAGAGCTCTGCTTACCCCTAATTTAAAGGATATTTTCCTAATACTTTCACTGCTGCCCTCCCAGAAAAGGTCTACATAAATGTTGTTGAAAATCACCCCCACAATAATCATGGATACAGTGTCATTTACCACAAGACCTGTCAGTTTTCGATAAACAAAGACATCTTAAATCCCACCATGAAACCAACACTCCTGACACATGTATTTAAAGTTGGGCTGCCTGGAAAGAGACTGAACTATCCCTTGGCCCATTCCTTCAGGAGGAAGGCTCATGCAGATAAATGTAAATTAGACCAGCAAGCTGCAAAGGCCCAACCCAGACAGTTATTACTGACAACTGACCATGAGCACTTAAAATAATGATCTGGTTAATTACAATGTAGAACTAATCGTGTAAGGAGGGAAAGAGGAACAAATGGGAGGGACAGAATAACAGTAAAATGCAAAATAAAGCAGAAGCAAGTGCCTTACAATTATCTGAGGTTTCCAAGGAGGTGACAGCCATTCTGAAAACATGAAATTCATACGCTCTGATCTTATTAGAGGCCAAGACAAGATGTCATTGCTGATCTGAAGTAAAAGGCCAGTTTATCTCATGCAAGGACAGTGCCAAAAATGACAGACTTTAATAGCTAGTAAGGAGAGATCCTTCTAAAAGTCTAAAGGAACAAAACAAGCTATCAGTACCTCGATAAAAAACATCACCAGCTTTTTGCAGTCCATAATCTCAGTCCTTCCAAAGGACTCCTTAGTCCTTTAAGGAGCAGAACTAATCTGAAGGGAGAGGATTCCCCAGCTAATCTGTTTTCCAGCTCATACCAGGGGTGCAAGTCTGGGTTCTGCATGTGCTCCACTGCCAAATGGCTTTGTCCAAAGCAAGGGGAATCCTACAGTATCTTTCAGCAGGTAGAACAGGGACAGGGACAGGGACTGTTCCAAGGGATGCTTGAGAAGACTGGCAGAGCCAGGTGCAGCATCCCCATAGAGAGAAGTGCCCTCCCCACCCTTGTTTGGTACCAGTGAGTCTCAATCTCTTTTTCTTTGCTGCTTATTGATGACTGAGACATATTCATTTGCTGTCAGATGGAGCTGACAGTCCAAAGGAATTAAGCATTTCACACAGCTGTAGCCTGTGTTGTTCCTCTCCAGAAGAGGAAAGGGCATCTGTTAGCACCACAACAGTCATGGGTAATGGAGATGTATGTCTGGATGGCTGGAGGAACCTTCTCTTCCCATCTGAGAGGCAAGAAAGGCCAGGCATGATTGGCCTTCTCTTGCTCCTAATAAACTCCATGAATCACAAGTAATTGCCTACTTAAAGCTACTCTTCTCTGGGGAATGATCTGACAGCCAGCACCAAAGGAAGGGAAAAGAAGGAGGGGGGTCGGGGGGATTTCAAAGAATAATTAGCTTAATACATTTCTGGGCCTCAGTATGAACACTCCTTCTGAGCAATTCAGGCCTTGAATTAGAAATGGCTGCGAAATATTCACTGCCATGAGGGATTGCATATGTAGGGAGATTTAACAAGGTCAAAGTAAGCCAAAAGGCAAGCCAAGCTGCAGGCCTGGAGAGGGCCAAACATTTGAGGTGCACTCCCCATGGCTTTGTTGCCCATAGACATAAATTTATAAATCTGCCAGGAGAGACCACAGCTTGATCTTATTCTCAGTTAGCACTGGTTTTCCACCCATGTTGCCACAGAACAGGAACTCACCAACTCTCTAGGATGATGCTGAGGGGCAACAACTGGTGCAACCTTTGCAGAGGAGGCTGCACTTTACCTTTCTTCCTTACTAGCACTCAGTCCTCTCTCAAAAGGTAAATGTGACTTCAGTCATGCAGTGAGACTAAAAATGTCTCCTTCCACCCCTTTCTCTTACTGTAAGTTCTATTCCTGTATTACAAGTTCTGCTATAAGTAGGATTCTACTGGGACAGGGCTGTGCAGATCCTATCACCCTTCTTCCCATTTAATTAAGAAAGCTACATGATGAGTAAATTGATAGGAATACCCATAAAAACGTAAACTACAGTGCAGGTGCAGAAGAATTATTACTCTTCACTGCCTGAAAATCCCCCCTTCCAGAGATGGAGGCAATTCACTGAAGACATCCATGAGTCTGGAGGGGCCCACAAATTGCAGGGCCCCTTTGCTGTGAGAAAAGTGGTTTCACCACGGAGATAGGCTCAGTCCCTGCAAGGTCAGGTCTGGGAGGCACCAGACATTAAGGAACAATCAGCTGAACATGTCTGTCTTGTCCACATGCATCCAGGGCAGATTTGGCCTCTGCTACAAGAACAGTGATATGGCAACATGACCTTAAAGCTAAAACAACACAGGACAGACAATCCCCAGGACAAACCAGAGCAGCTCTAGGATACTGAGGAGGCTAAGCCCGTATATAGCAGTCAAGATGTGGCCCACCCTGAAGATATGTCACATTAGCTTGTGAAGCCAGTTAATTAGTCTCCCTTATTTTTTTTCCTGGTGTGAAGCAAGAATTCTGTCTGAGCTGAGTATGCAGTATTTTGAGAAAGAGAGAGCTAAAGAGCCAAGGTGTCTCTTTTGCTCAGAAATCTATTGGGTCACTGATCTGACATCTATGTCTAGGGACAGCATCTGTGCTTTGAGGGAAGTGGTAGAGATGTCCCAGAAGTAGCAGCTTCTTCTGTGGAAACCTCATTAGCTGAGACCCTTCAGCTGCAATAGC